AATCTCCTAACCTGATTCATCCTAGGCCCCACACTGGAACTCAGTGTGAGCGCCATATGTTCATTTGCATGTGGTTTTGTGCAGTATACTGTCCAAGCCCGCCATCATGGGAGCCAGCTTTTATAGCAAGTGGGCTTTGGAGACAAGGGACAGATTAGTTTGTATGCAAGAATCATGCCTGCCCCTGTACCCACCTGGGCTGTTCCAGTCCAGGCTGAATTGCCTTTCTGGAATTTCCTCCCTTGCAGTGTGGTTCTGGAACTCCTAAGGGCAAGAGGCAGACACACCTGGTCTTGCACTGTCAAGGCAACTCTGAGTTGTTCATTTGGGTGGGGACTCCTATGACCAAAAGCCCATGCCTGGAACCATACAGCTCTGCCCTGAGCACCAGAGGAAAAGTTTTAATGCCTCCTCCATCATTCCACCGCTGATGGGGAGTGGTCTTGAGAGTGCCTGCTAAGGGCCATGCTGGCCCCGCCCCTGGGGCATACTGAGATGGCAATTGACACTGGTGTCATGATGCACACTTATAATCCCAGCACTTGGAGGCTGAAAATAGGATCACTATCAGTCCAATCTGTGTAGTGAGACCTTGTAGACCCTGTGCTAAATACATAAAAAAGGAGAGAGAGTGCCTGCTAGTCTTTTAGTACTATCCCAAGATACTACAGAGCAGGCAGCCCTGACTGCTTCTCCTTTTCTTTGCCCTGCTTTGTCTTGGGCTCATCCTAGGTGAGATCCCACAGCCACCAAGACCCTGGTGTCCCTCTGTAGTGGCCCAACCTGAGTCCTTCTGCTGTCTCCTACAGGTACCAGCTTCAGTCCCAGGAGGAGACCAAGGAGAGGCGGCACTCCCACACCATCGGCGGGCTACCCGAATCTGAGGACCAGGCAGAGCTGCCTTCCCCCCCTGCCCTCTCCGTGTCCCTGAGTGCAAAGGGCCAGCTTACCAACATAGGTCAGTGTTGCCGGTTGCTCACTGTGTCACGGGGCACAGCAGGGGTCACCTTGCAGGATGAGGCAAGGCAGCTGGCCATGGGCTTCCATCTCGTATTTCACTCATGCTATTTGGTTGCTTCACGGTGGCTCAGTTTAGCCACCTAAAACAAGATTAAAGGCAAGATGATCCAAGATCCTAAACTGGACAGTTGCTTCTGGGTATAAGTTGGAGGGTCCCAGGGTATCAGAGAGTCCAAATGATGCCATGGAAAATCTGTGAAGCTTGGAGAGCAAACCAGTGCCCGAGCTGCTAGCTGCTGAGAGGGCCACACTAACTAGGGCTGGTGGCAAGGGAAAGGGAAGGGTCACTGCCTGAGCAGAGTGGCCACAGCTGCCAAAACCTGAAAGCTCCAGTTCTCCAGCTACTCTGGCGGGGCCAGGCCATCCTCGCCCTGAAGGCAGAGCTGACAAAGACCCAGCCTGGCTACACCCTTTCTAAAGGCAGAGAAAGCTGGGATAGAAGGAAGTGGTTTGGTGATGGGGGCAAAGACCCAGGAGGTGACAAAACCTTGGAAGTGGATCTGGCCCTGCACAGAAGCACACACCCTGGCTCTGGAAAGTGAGGCTTGGCCTTATGGGACCCCTTTGGGCAGAACCTAGCCCCAGCTCTTGTTTGCTTCCTGCTGCTCTCTAAACCCATTTCTTTCAGCCAAGTGAAAGAAAACAGTTAACCTAAAACAAGGACCTGTGCTGTGCCTGTGCATGTCTGTGGGATCTGAGGAAAGACCAGGAGTCAGGATCAGCTTTGCTTAGGGAGTGTCATGCAGCCTGGAAAGGCTATTTAATGGAGGGTTAGGCCAGCTCATCTTCCATCGGCACTGGGGATCAAACAGGAGGACAGCTGTGTTCCATGTCATGCTGTGGAACAAGGGACTGAGCTAACCAGTAATTAATCACCTTGTGACTCAAAGGGGCCACAAGAGAGGTGGGATGTCTTCTGCCTGCAGGTCTTTATGGACAGAGTAGACGTCCACCTGCCTCTGTGGAGGCAGAAGCATAGATGAGGGAGCTCCCTAAGGGGTGAACCCCAAAAGGCTGTAACTCCAGAAAGGGAGAAAGGGAAAAGTTCCACAGTTCAATAGCATTCAGCAGAGCTCGGCTTCCTAGTGGATCCCACAGCCTTATGTGACATGTCTACCCGCTCTCTGTCTGACCTTCGAGCCAGGGGGATGCTGGGCAGTGAAAATGTCTTCATGCTTTAGAGATGACCTAAAGTGGCCTAGATTGGCACCACTTTGGCGGAAGCTCTCACCCCCTCGCATGTCGCTGAGCCCATTGGGTCCCACACCCTGGTCCCATTCTCTAGCTGCTTCCTTGTCATTTGGATCTGGTCTTGGTGTGAATGTTCAGTCTGCCCAGTTTGCCAGCTGTGTTCTAGAGAACCACTACATCCATTTTCATCAGCACATCCCAGTGATGTGAAGGTTTCGGGATGCTGCCAGGCCCCCAACCTAACCCTCAAAAGCACCACCTCTGAGGCAGGCGGAATGAAGGAAGGTTCTTATTCCAGATGGCAGGGTCTTTTGCCATTAGAGCTTGACCTCCCCAGGAGGGACCCCAGCCCTGACCATCAGCTGCTTGCACACGCCCACTGCCCCCCCGCCCCCTCCTATCCTGCCCTCTCCTCATTGCCTCTCATGCTCCTGGTGCTCCGTCCCCCAAGGGACCAGAGAGCTGATAACCCTGCCTCTTCTCCCACCTCCCCCTCCCTCTCCTGTCCCCTTTCCCTCTGTCCTTCCAGTGAGTCCCACTGCGGCCACCACGCCAAGAATCACTCGCTCCAACAGCATCCCCACCCACGAGGCGGCCTTCGAGCTGTACAGCGGCTCCCAAATGGGGAGCACCCTGTCCCTGGCCGAGAGACCCAAGGGAATGATTCGGTCAGGATCCTTCCGAGACCCCACGGACGATGGTGAGACTTCATGCCAGCGCGGTTCACACTCATTCCAGCTCTGCTGGGTTCCCTCACCCACCACCACCTCCACTGCCACCACTGCCACCACCACACACACATAAATGATTCACAGGACATGGACTTGGGCCATTTCTGTTCTTTCTTCCCATACCTTTGAAGGGTCTGGGGGCCCAGAAACCTTGGGTGGTGCCATCTAGCACTGGGACTGTGGGATGAAGCATCTCATGGGGCTGGGAGAGGGAACTCCAGAGTGGAAACTGGTGCCCCTCAGGGTGCTCTGAAAACCAGTTTCTATCCTCCTAGCAGCAGTCTTTCTACCCCATAGTCTCTCCATTTTAGAAAAGACACAGGGACATTCGCAGCTCTTAAATCTTCACAAAGCATTAGGCATCTCATTTCTCTTTCTAGAATGTTCTAAGGATTAGCTTTAGGGAGGGTCATCTGAGTGTCAGTGGTGGTGACTGGGTGAGAGACCAGGCCTCATGGGGTGTGAGGCCTCCTGTCTTCAATTTCAGCATGCTCCTTTCAGGAGGTGTTCCTTGCAAGTTACTTCAGTCTTGCAGTGAGTTCTGTGGAGTAATTAGAAGGAACACTCCCCACTCACACACACTTTTTTCATCTGAACAACCCCCAGGCAAATCCCCCAAAAGGAGACACAGGCAGATTTGCAGTATTTGTTCGGAATAGCCTTGACAAAAAATCCTCACCGCTCCTGAAGTTTGAAGGACTTTTCTGACTTGGCATCTGCCCGTGAAAACTTCCTCTCCCTCTTGCTGAAGCCCCATCCCCCTCAGAGCAGGCTGAGCCTGCAAGGCACTGCCATGCCCAGGCCACCAGAGAATGTAGATGAGAGAGGAGGCTGCCTCTACTCAACGCGGAGGCTCCCTGGAAACCTGCCTGCTTTGGGTTCTTGGGATACCAACTGGGTTCCCTGTTCTTCTTTTTCTGTCTGCTCCAGATGCCCTCCAGAATCAGAATCCAAACTTCTGCCTTAGGGTTCTTCCAGGAAGCCCCTGTCCCTGGAGCCCCTGCTAACCCTTCGTGTTCTCTTTCCCTTTCAGTTCATGGCTCCGTGCTGTCCCTGGCCTCCAGTGCCTCTTCCACGTACTCCTCAGTAAGAGCATTGCCTTCCCTCGCCCCTCACCTTCCGTTCCCCACCATCCCATGCTCCCTGGAGCTCCCTTTGGCTGGGTAGCTGGGTAGGAATGGGGCTGCTGTCCCTTTGTTACCCTGATGGATCTGTGGTGGGGAGGAGAAGATGCCTAGAGCTTGGAGCACTCACTTAGGTGCCTCTGGTCCTCAGTGGTCTTTCTGGCCTCACCACCAACTTCCCCTCCTTTGAAAAATGAGCCCTCTTTGTACCATGGTAAATGGGAAGCATTTATAGCAAGCTCCTGAGACTCTAGATGCTAGAGTCTTCATTATGCAGAATTGACTGACTGTGTATTGCAGGCCAGTGTGCATAGCATTTGGCTTCCAGGTATTTGATTCTTAGGTTTGTTGTGCTTGTCATTTTTTTTTTTTTTTTTTTACTCCTCCAAGGTACTAGCAGTAAAGTTAGTTTTCAGACCAACCAAAATCTCATTTCCTAGCCTCCTCTACAGTGACAAAGTTGGCTGGAGATAAGCACTAGAGAAATCATTTTTAAAATTTATCTTGCATTTTTTTGAGATGGAATGTTGGTAATTTGCTAATTTGCCCAGGCTGGGTTTGAATTTATGACTCCCCTGCCTCAGCCTCTCTAAGTGCTGGGATTACAGGCATGTACCACCAATCCCAGCTGAAGAATCTTTTATTAAAATTCTAGTTTAGGTCTAAGCTGAGGTCTGTAAGGAGCGGGGTCAGGAAATAAGCTTCACTTCTCTACAGAGCTTCTTCAAGTCTGCCCTGCCATTTGGGCCTGGCTTCTTGCCTTCCAGAGTAACACCTGTCTCTCCCCCTCTCCCTCTCTCTCTCCTATGCTCCCTTCTCCAGGCTGAGGAGAGGATGCAGTCTGAGGTAGGGGCCAAAGCCTTTGTCTCTGCTTGTTAACACCACCGCACCCTGTCTTTCCTCCAGATCTCCTTCTCCAGCCGTTAGTAGTTTGCCCTTCTCTTCCTTTCACAGCAAATCCGGAAGCTTCGGCGGGAACTGGAATCATCCCAGGAAAAGGTGGCCACCCTGACCTCTCAGCTTTCTGCCAATGTGAGTACCCGAAGCACAAAAGGGCGAGGCCGCTTGCTGTGACCATATAAGATAAATTCTGCCAAGGAAGAAGATTTGGACAAGGAGGATTCTGTGCCCTGGCCTTAGGTCCAAAGGGGTGGGTTGTCACAGCTCTACTACAACAGCAGATTTGGCCTTGTTGTTCACCTTCTCTGAGCCTCCATTTCACAATGGACCATTTTGCCCCTGCCCTGGTTGACAGGTTTCGTGGGTTGGTGTTGTCTGGTGTACTCTGACCTTCCTAGAGAGCAAAGAAGTTTACCACGGGATGTGCAGGGAGGCAAAAAGGCCTTGCCTTCGACTGTGGACAAAAATAACTGGGTTTAATTACACAGTCCTTGAGGTCCTTTTAGCCTCAGGGAGTGTTGGTGTCTGTGTTCGCGCCACGTGACTGGGCAGCACAGAAGTAGTCGTTAGCCTGGCAGCCGCTGTGCAGTCTAACTCCCATTCTGGCTAAATCCTTCCTTCACACCCCCACCTGATGCACTGGGCTGTATGTGGGTTGGGAGCCAGGGGTATTTGTGTATGCCTTCAGCTTGCCTTCACTATGTCCATTCAGATTCAATTTTCTTTAGGCCTTAGTTTTTCTACTCTGTGAGATGGGGAGAAAAGAGACCACCTCCTCTCTCCAGGTTGTGGGAGTTTCTCCCCTGTGACCGAGCTGCAAGCAGAGAACATAAGAGGCATTTTTCCCCAAAGCTGTAAACAACAGCTGAGCCGGATCTGCAGGAGCTTTCCAAGTGTTTGCACAAAAGTAACCATGTCTCCAATTTCCGCAGTAGTTTCTGGTTTTTTCTCTTCCCTTCCTCTCTGGGGAAACCAGCTGTCAGGCTTGGGGGTCTGTTCCTTGGAATCAGGTAGAATCTCTATCAAAATTGTGCATGGTTCCAATATATTTCAGCAGCAGCTCCTTCACCATGTTGGTTATTTTCTTTTCTTTTCTCCTCAACCCTTAGTTCATAAGTTGTACATTCAATGGTTTGTTTAAAGCTCATGGCAAGCACTTCTCCCCACTCTTGGGGACCCATAGCAATTGCAACCTGAACAGACCCATCTTTTCTCTCCCTCCTGCCACACCCCCCAAGCCTGCAGGCCTGGGTCACATCCTACACACCCCAGGAAATTCATGTCTGGGAGATGCTGGGGGACAGGCGCCAGGGAGGCAGAGAACATTATATCTGATTCATTTACACTGCAATCTGTCAACCATCGTGCTGTCAAGGCTAGGCGAGGGCCAAGAAAAGGAATAGAGAGGGTGATTTTTCTTAGAACAGGAAGTTCCACTCAGCTAAAAGAGAACAAACCAAACACCCAGACATAGTGTGTTTTGAGTCTAGGAGCAGATTGGGGGTCAAAGCCCTACCCTCAAGCAGGAGATGGGACCAAGGAAGGTGCCCTGGTACTGAACCAGACTTTTATCATGTTATGTGGCATGTCAAGCTACTGAAGCCGAGGGCAGATCCTGTACCAGGGGGCACCCAGGCCACTCTTCCTGCCCAAACTAGCCTGTCTGTACAGCACCAGGCCTCCAGATGAGGAGAAGCCAGCACAGAAAAGCACACACCAGACCAGGAGTTCCTGGGGCTCCTCAGTGAAATTCCAGAGATTCCAAGCTGCCTGTTTACAGTCAGACCAGGAAGTAGGGAAGCCCTGAGATTAGGAAGACAGAAGGTGAAAGAAAGCTGCCTGTGTTATGAAGTGTCTGCTAAAGAGCAGAGGCCTTGTTGATTTATAGCGAAAGTGGAAGGCTCAGATAGGAGGACCTCGACTTTAGGGGTGGTCCAATGAAGGTAGACTGCTACATGTTTCAGGCGCATTGGGTGACAGCTAGAGTTGACCTACCAGGAAGGGAGACTTGCAAGCCAATAGGAAGCAACAAGAGTGTCATGGATCTTGTAGAGTGCCACATGAAGGGCCTACCCAGAATGTGTCCATTGATCCAGCTTGCTCTTGGATGGCTATTTCTCCACCCTTGAGTGTTCCCCTTGCTGGTTCCATGCCTTATTCTCTCCATCTTTTGTATACGTCCTGCTGCCAGTTGATTGACCCATTAGAGTTAAAACCAGCTCCACTTGGCCTTAAACCACCCCTCAACCCGCCTTTATCCTGCAGCCCTTACAAAGCAGCCCTGACACCTAGTGGTCAAACTATGACATGGCGCTGAGGTTTCTAGCTACCACCCTCCAGTCCTATAAAGTGGAAAGCAATGAGGGATAAGAACAAGGACAGCTCCAAAGCAAAGATGAGGAGCTGGTGAGATGGCTCAGTGGTCTAAAGCACCTACTTAGAACAAGCTTAGCAAATCACAGAGTCTGCGGTTCAATCCCCCAGCACCACATGCCAGCCAGCCCTGCCCCCTGGTGGGCTGAGCTGGCCACACACACATAAATAAATAAATAAATAAATAAAATGAAGATTAAAAAAAAAAAAAAAAAAACAAAGCAAAGATGAGTTAAGAATGGAGAGCCACTCTGGGAGGGTGCAGAGGTGGAGGAGATACAGCAGGCAGATTCTCCTGGGAGCTTATCTGAGGTCAGACCCTACACAGTAAGGGAGTTAAACCAAAGTGATGGACCAGACCCTGGGGGATATGACCCTCTCATGTCACAAGCCTACTATGCACATAGCACAGAGCAGAGGGGCTATCCCACCTCTGGTAGATGATAGCTATAAGATCTCAAATCTCCAGCCTCCAAAAGCCTGCTTTCTTCATTATTTAAAAAGCTGATTTCTTGGCTGGCCAAATAGCTCAGTGGGTTAAAACATCTACAATTAGGCAGAGGGGCCAGGGATTCAATCCCCAGGCTTGCCATGCCGGCTCTGCCCCTGGGGTGCGCTGAGATAGCAATTGAGACTTGGTGTGGTGTCACATTGCCTATAACCCGAGCTCTTGGGAGGTTGTAAACAGGCGGATCACTATGAGTCCAATCTAGTAGTGAAACCCTGAACACCCTGTATACCCTTCCCTAAAATACAAAAAAAAAAAAACTGATTTCTCTGAGAAAATCTTGATTCCACTTTGATTCCCATCTGCTCAGGGAAAACCGTATTTTTAAAACCACCCCAAGATGTATTGGCCTTGGTCAGCTCTGAGAGGTAGATAATCCATTAAAGCTATTTCCCATGGCAGTCATCTTCTCTGCCCCAGCCCCTCACAGCTTAGATCCTCCTGTGTATTTCTTCCAGGCTAACCTGGTGGCTGCTTTTGAGCAGAGCCTGGTGAACATGACATCTCGCTTACGGCACCTGGCAGAGACTGCAGAGGAGAAGGTGAGAATCAAAGAAGGGGTTCGGGGCCCAGCCAGCGCTATCCTCCCCCAGTGCCAGTTCCTCCTGCACTGTGTCATCTGCGTTCTGAAGTGTCCCCTCAGTGCCATGTCACCATCTTCCCAGCCCCAATTCCCTGCCTTTGTCTTTTAAGCCTCGGAGAATCTCAGGGATTAGCCGTTGGCCTGGCATGTTGTAAGTGCTTATACTCATTCCAAATGACAAATGACACTACTTTCATTTCACTCCTAGGACACTGAGCTGCTGGATTTGCGGGAAACCATAGATTTTCTGAAGAAAAAGAACTCTGAGGCTCAAGCAGTCATTCAGGGAGCCCTGAATGCCTCAGATACTACTCCCAAAGGTAAGACAGCCAGCAGCAGGTTTCGAGAGAATGGGGAAAGAACAGTGGGGAAAAGATTACTGCAGATTTTTGTCCGGGCCTACGATGTGCCAGCTCTGGCAAGTTTCTGGAAGATGAAGGCTTTTAGATGACCTCCAGTGATGCCCGATCAGGTCAGTGATTTGTGCCAAGGCACAGCCCCATTGTCCCTGGCTTAAGGGCACGTGAAGGAGATCTGTCATCTTCACAGGTCATCGCCTTGTCTTTTAGATCACTAAAATAACACTTTACATTTTTACTCAACTGTGCTGTTTGTCTACATTTATAATTTTACTCCATCCTCACTTCAGTTGTGCAAGAGTGATGTGATCCACTCCAGAGGAGCAGGCCAAAGATCACATCGGTCTCCCAGCCGGCAGGGATGTAGTAACTGGTCAGGCTTAGATACGGACTCTGGATGGCTGGTAATCTGATGCCACAAAACTCAGTGGCTCCACCTCCAGTCAGGCCCTTGGGTCAGCTTGACTGAAAAGAAAAACTAAGAAGGGCTGTTTCTCACAAGTTGGAAAGGAACTAAGAGATGTGGGAGGAGAAGTAAAAGGACTTAGGATATGTTGTGCACACACACCGGCGCCCACAAGGAATGCAATCCTTATGTGCTGCAAACCCATACTAAAGAAAGGGAGCTGAGCATGTGGCTCAGTGTGAAGGCTCTGCATTAATTCCCAGTACCAACAGGGAAAACAAGAGAGCACAAGAAGAAAAGAAGGGGGCCGGGGAGATGGCTCAGCAGAATAAGTGCTTCCCTGGCAAGCGCAAGGGCCTGAGTTCAATCCCCAGTTCCACAAAAAAAAAAGAAAAGGAAAAAAAAGGAACATTTTTCAAGTGAGAATTCCATTGACTATTCTTTCATCCATTACATTATCTGACCATTATTTGCTTTCTCTCCCCCTGTTGGAAAGAGCTAGCCCACCCTCAATGCAAATAATCCCTAATTTAATGCACTGGGTACTTCCTCTAACAACCTACTCATGCACTCTCCTTTCTTCCTCTCTGGCTTCTTAATCTCTCTGTTTTTGTTTAGCCCTTTTGAGACAAGAGTCTCATGATGTAGTTCAAACTAGCCATGAACTCACAGCAATCCTCCTGCCTCAGCCCAGGAGTGCTGGGACTATAAGTATATGCTGCCATGCGTGGCTCTGACCTCTTAATCTCTGCTCCAGTTCTGTTTACAAATCTGCTAAAACTTCTCATGCCCTAGAGAAGAAAAAGGATTTACCAAGGTCCTCTCTTTCCTTCCTGAACAGTCAACCTTCCCTTTCCACCTCCCACTAAAATTACACTTCTGGGACACCATCTCCATCTGCCACAGAGCCAGACAGGAGTGTGCAGAACAGTAATGCTCATCTACAAGCTCACACACACTGCTGATCCCCAGATTTCCAAGAGTGGGCCCTGTTAACAGCTCTCCTTTCTTCATCAAGCTCTCCGAGCTTCCGAGTCATGTTCCCCTCTCAGTCTTCCTCTACTCTGCTTCCTTTGCAGAACCTCCTCAAGTACTGACATCCACAAGGGCCCAGACTCACCTATTTTCCCTTATGACTCCTCACTACACCCCTCCTGGTGGCATATCTACCTTATACTTTTTTTTTTTTTTTTTTTTTATTTGGCATACGAGATGTTGCGGCGTGACTGGAGTTCAGACGTGTGCTCTTCCGATCATTATATAATCAAGTGTGAATGGCGGGTCTTTAAGCATTGATGTCAAAGCAGCTGATGAGTTTTGTTTTTTTTTTTTTTTTTTTGTTAGGCTGGGTCTAACAGTGTAACCCAGGCTGACTCAGTCCTCCTCCATTAGTCCTATGGCTTCTATAACCTTTTACTTATTTTTTGTTTTAAATGGAGATACAACTCATATAGCATAAAATTCACCCCTGTAAAGTATATCATTCAGTGGTTTGGGGCATATTCAAAAGGTTGTGCAGGGCTGTGAATAGCTCAGTGGTAGAGCTCTTTCGAGCATGGGCGAGGTTCTGGGTTCCATCCTGACCACCCAACAACCACCACCAAAAAAGGTTATACAACCATAACCACTATTTAATTCCAGAACATTTCATCACCTTAAAAAGACACCCCAATCCTGTTTGCAGCACTCACTAATTTCCCCTCCTCTCATTTCCTGGCCACCACTAATCTATTTCCTGTCTTTGGATTTGCCTATTTTGAACATGTAATATAAAAAGAATCCTGTGATAAGTGGTCTCTTGTGGTTGGCTCCTTTCAGTACAGTGTTTCCAAGATTCAATCCATGTAGTATCAATGTGTCAGTACATCATTTTTTATGTCTGACTAATATTCCACTATGTAGATATAGTGTTTCCTGGAAAACAAGGCCTAGCTAGAAAATGACCGAAAATTAGAACTCAAAAATGCCAGCCCCAGTCAGCCTATCCCGGCCTTACCTGCCTTACAGAATAGGGAGCAAGCAAGAGAATAGTGATGGCAGGGGAGGGAAGGACAGGCTGATTGGGGTATCATTTTTGACCTCTAGTTTTTAAAGCTGTTTATTTTCTGGCCACATCTCACTTCCATGGCAAGAGGCTACTTACTACATTTTGCTTATTAGTTCGACTGACTGACATTGAATTATCTTCACTTTTTGTCTGTTATGAACAGTGCTACCATGAACATTCATATACTAGTATCCATTTATCTATCTATCTGTCTATCTATCTATCTATCTATCTATCTATCTATCTATCTATCTATCTTTCTGTCTATCCAGGGAATTAAACTTAAGACCTTGCACTTGTGCAACTGAGCTATTTCCCCAACCCGACATAGTTTTTGTGTAAACCTATGTCCTCAGGTCCCTTGGATAAATATCTACAAGAAGAGTTTCTGGGTTGTACATTAACTCTGTTTAACTTTTTTTTTATTTTTTATTTTTTTTGGCGGAACTAGGGATTGAACTCAGGCCCTTGCGCTTGCCAGGAAAGCGTTTATTCCACTGCGCCATCTCCCTGGTCCCTCTGACTTTTTGAGGAACTTGCTGGCTATTTTCTAAAGTAATTACAGCATTTACATTTCTATTAGAAATGTATAAGGATTCCAGTTACTCCACATTCTTGCCACTTTTTTATTGCCCTCTTTTTTGCTGTAGCCATCTTTGTGGGTATGTATCTCCTTGTACTTTTGACCTTAGTTTTCCTAACAGCTAAAAATGTAGAACTGCTGTATATGCACTTACTTGCTGTTTGTGTACCTTCATAGAGAAATGGCTACTGAGCTCATTCACCAGTCTTAAAATCAGGTTTTTTGTATTGCTGAGCTAAGAAGTTTTTATATGGGTTACTAGACCCTTATTAGATAAATTATTTGCAAATATGCTCTCCCCTTCTGTATGTTGTATTTTTACTTCCTTAACAGGTGTCTTTTGGCTGAGGAGACAGCTCAGTGGATGGAGCACCTGCCTGGCAAGCACAAGGACCCGGGTTTGATCCCTGGTACTGCATGCCATGCTGGCCCTGGAACCCCAGGTTCCAGGGGTGAAATTAGGCATGGTGGCACATGCCTGTAATCCCAGGGCTGGGAATACTGAGACAGGAGATTACTACGAGTCCAGGCTGCATAGGGAGACCTGTACCAAATACATAAAATAATTAATTAATTAAATTTAAAAAAATTTTTAAAA